ATTATAACCATGCTACTGTTCTGTGTTATACACGCTGGTTTTATGGTTATTATACAGGTGAGTGTTCCAAGATGAAAGTTATTTAATGCAAGTTATTTCGGTTTGGCAGTTTAGCAGCTTCTCCTGTACTACTGCCGAAAAAGTTTCCGAATCCATTACTCAAGCGGGCAAGATCTTCGGGAGTGAAGTCCTCTCTGTAGACTCCATACGTAAAACATGCCAATGGATGGTACGCCAGATTCACTAAGAGTGACGGCACGCAACGGTTACAATCACCACATCGGTTAGCAGGACACTCTTTGCTAGGACATACAATAGCTCCGATGAAATAGAAGGCCCACGATCAGAATGAAGCGCATCGGATTGTTCTCCATACCATGACCTATCCTTATATACAGAGGACCCCAATAAATAGATAAATTGTTTCCTTAATGGATGATGGTATTCGGAAATACACAAAATAACCTAGGAATGTTGTCCCATTTTAAGTGCAGTACAGTGTTCAGCCATTAATTGAGTGATAAGCATAACGGTAAGACACGCCGTATCACAGCTGCGTCATTGGGAGATCGAAGAATTAAGCTAGCTCAATTTCCGCAGTCCAGAGTCACCAGCTTCACTACAGAGGCAGCTGGCAACCCAAATGCTTTTGGACGCTCATGCTTACACTGATATGCTTCTGGAATACATTGTGCGAACTATGGTCATATGCGTGACGCATCTGATTTCGAGAGATTCAGGTCAGCGCCGAACCTCAAACGTTCATTGCAGTGTTAGGACGCTCCATCCTACGAGACCACTCACAATGAAACTAGTGGCGCTTCGTTGCATCTCATGTCGTTCTTAAGACGGCCAGGACTGAGCACACTTTCCTCTGTGGTAGCATAGCATCAGAAGCTGTGAGCCGCTCAACTCTCAAGTTCATTTTAAAAACAATTGCTCAGCGATGTTCGTCCGTGAAAAGTGAGACTAGCAGTAGCAAATGACTCTGTGGGAATTGCTTCACCACAGCTGTCAAAGCCTCATTCGAAAGTCGGTTTACGTTCTACGATCGGAACATTTTTAACCGCTAACGCCTGGATTTCCAATGAACGGTAGACATTTCCGTTGCGTGACAAGCACTGAATGCTGGGACACGATTTACAATCCGTCTCACCATTCCGGACCTAAGCTTTCCATTTGTGCATACAACACAAGCTTCACAGTGACAACTCCATTGTGATTTCAACAGCTTCTTCAAACTCATTCCAATCGTTACTATGGCGGTCAGTTCAAACTTCCTTGTCCTGACCTGAAGCTTCTCTGAAGACCTTTTTCACTACCAGAACGGGCTCGCATACTTATGGATCAACGAAGCAGCATACATTCTAGGCCCTCTAACAGTTAGACGATCAGATGCTTATGCTTAGTGCACACTTGACATTTAATTTTCTGGTACTTTCTCATGTTTCCTTATTTTACCATTTGCGTTTTCTTTTTTGTCTTTGTATGCGAACGTTGTCTTACACAGCGTACTCAATAAACAAAGCAGTAAACAGGAATGTTTTGTCGAAGTGACGAGGTTGTTGGACCATCGAATACCTTAGTAAAAGAATTTCATTTCAGACATTTCATTTATATCGGTATTGTTTTCACACCAATCCCTGCGAAATCGCCGTACCATCAGCGATCTGCTTCGGTGTCAGATTTCCCACGGTCCTGTGTATGGCATTGTTTGCAATTTTACAGGTTGGTTGAATCTCTGATATGGAATAGTGGCAGAACTATGGCATACGAACTAGCATCGATTGTGAGCCACTCTTTTTGGTTTTGATGTGGGAACGTTCATGCAGTGCAGGTGAATATGGAGAACGGCAGTGTCAGTACTACCCACTTTGTAAGAATGGTGTCTTCCCCTGCAGCAACGGTATCTCATGCAAAAACTTACGCAGCGCGTACCTCATCTTTAAAACAGTTGTTTTCGGAATACGAAGATTCGGTGAACTGCAACGGTCTCCCCTAGAACAACTCAATCGTTTGTTAGGAATCCATATATGTTAGTATGAATAACAAAACGTGCGGTCGTGAAGTACTAGTATACAATGGTATTTCTCGAACGTATGCCGTGCGCTGATCCGAAAGATGGTGTTGTGGATTCACAACCTTTCTAATAGGACTATCTTCTAGGATTAAATGATAGTGAGCTAGCTCGGCATATTAGCTTAGTCGTGCTCATAGATAAGCACTCTTAAGATGATACCGCAGGCGTGACCTCGCGGTATCCTGAGTGAGTAATCAACTAGGTGCCTCTGATAAGCCCTTGAGTGCGTTGCGCCCTTTTCATCCTCTTTGTTCAGTGCCGTCTGCCGACACTGTATCTTAGCACCGCCCCATTTCGCTGTATATAAGCTCGCTGAATCTGTAGCATCGGACTCTGTTTGTCAGACGTGTAAATAATAAACGTTTCACGTTCTGACTGAGTATTCCCTCGGCCAACCAGCCAAAGATGGGTTTTTTGATGATGATTTTGCGTTAAGCGTCAAACTGACAAAGTGCCGTCGTTGTTGCGTGAGGGCCTTAATAGAGGCTTGAAATGAATTCTACAACTAAACTTACTTTGTGCAAAATCATGTGATCTCAACATGTGAAAAGCTTGGAGACCGCACACAAACAGCAAACTTTAATTAGATAGCATACTTCAGCATTTGAAGCACTGCTCTTTGAAGAAACGAGGAGAGTATTGAATACACTCGGTAAAGTACAAGAAGTAATGGTAAAGTTCGGGAAGTATCGGTGAGAAGTCTTAAATGCGCCGCTTGAGAAGCATAGAAGAAAAAAGATCAGGCTTGATCTTCTTATGTGAAACGTACTATACTGGCTTCGAAGGTGACCTTGGCACTGGAAGCTTTCTGGGTTGAGCCCTGTCGTGCTAGCGTGAATAGTCGGAACAAATGCATGCCGATGATTCGTGGGCTTGCCCTACACTTCACCTACATTAGCTTTCTTACACCAGCCTTACAATCACTACTCTTGCGCAGAGACTCACACCACTGTCGCGCTTCTACAAATAGGCTAGTGATTTGCCCTGGTGAAATTGGGCTTTTTTCGATTTTACTGCTGGAAAGATCCCTGTGTTCAGAGTGCCTTACTGATGATGCAGCGACCAAAGAGGATAAACACGTTGAGCAAGATAAATTTTATGAACATCTGTTGATATGCCTCCGAACCTTCGATCAAGGCAATCTTGCTGAAATGTCCGGTCGAATGAAAAACATTGGTCACAAGAACTTGTTTGACTTAGAAGAAAGCTACATTCGTGTTCGCTGTAGAGCTCTGAAGATGAAGCTCAACAAGCGTGAGACTCTTGCACTGGATCTTGGAAGTTTTCAAGGGCGTTGCCTTTTGAGAATGACTCGATCATGAGGCACAGTACATCGTACCCCTGGAAAATAAAAAAAGTAACCGAACTCTGAGGTGCTTCGTTTTGGAATAGTGTCCGATGTCAATAAGTCCTACTGAGATAACTTTATTGCAATAAGGCTACACTCAGTAAGGTAATGAAACAACTCATGATACACGGATCACGACTCGCGCGCTTTATTCGCACGGTCATGAAAAGTTAAATGTTTGAAGGGCCTATACGGATTTTTCTCGAACTGTTGAGACATTTTCATGGGAAGCTTGAAGCTTGTGAAGCTCCATTTACGCGCAAATCCTTCACTGTTTTCTGAACCGTCGTTTACGACCCATTTCACATGTCGAATCAATCATGATCTTATTCCATGAAGAGCAATTGTTTTCAGCTGAAGTACTTGTTCTACTTTATGTGTGGCGGTGAATGCTAGATTTAGTCAAAGGGTTTTAGACAGCCACGGTTGTCGACGGTCGCTGGCATTATGGAAACGGAAGGAATACGAGCCACTATGGGTGTCGAAGTGGACTTGCAATTTCTGGAATATGCGTGAGAAACTTTTGGAGATCTTTTGAAAGTCACTTGACTGAATGAGATTCAACAGCTGGAATAGAGTAAATGATCAATATTTATCAGAAATGATCTTGGATTGCTTATTTGCCCATAGAGTGAGCATTTAAGATGAGAAAAAGCGCCAAAGCTAACGCACAAGTCATCACCTCAAGTTCTCCACATATCAAGATTTTTCTGATCGCTAGTGAGAACACACACTGATACCGCAGTGCTTGCAGGCGAGAAAGCGCCACAAACCTCGAATCCCTAGGAGTGGGGCATATTCGAGCCTACCACCACTGCTATGAGATGAAAGCTCCGTAGAGTCAGTGGGCTCATTCAACCACATCTCGCTGACAGTCTCTGTTTTTTACAGGACTTGCATTTTCAGTACAGAGCGTAGGAAGCAATTCGAGTAGGAACTTGCAAGTGGGACATCGTCGGACATCGTTGAACAAGAGGAGCACAGAGAGCGACTTTCAATGTGCTCTTTGCTTTAGTTCATACAAATCGGTTTTTGGGAGTCCACTACGATTCCTCGCACCGATTTTCACACGTTGTCATCGAAAGAAAGCGGATCGCAACGGGGAATGGATATGACATTGCAGCTCTTGGCTGACACCATTCCTAGCGATTTTTCACCACACCTTCTGGAAACACTCCCTCATACCTACCGACAGGCCAACTGTGCCGCGATGATGGGATGATGTCGGACGACTCCTAGTCGATTTATGGAAGAAAACAAGTTCAAATCAAACGTGGGAAACATAAGAATATAAGAAGAAAAAGAACTTCCAATTGCGTTGTTTAATTATCAATTATTAATAAATTTGTTTAATTCTTTGAAGGACTGGACATCTTCATTTAAAAGTTAGTTGTCATTAATTTCTCATGTATTCAGGTTTTACTGTCCCTAATCCTCACCTATTGGTCTACGTATAAAACCGATCTTGGAACGCTGGCAGTATATTGTTCAGCCATAACTAATGAAACGGCTGAGCGAATAAGTATACTATGCTTCATATTATGTGGTATTGACATTATATCACTGGTTGGTATGGCTCTGCTGCATATGTTCAATGTCGCGGCTATGAAAAGGTGATCACACTTTCTATGTTTTTTTTTCGATGCAGCTTGAGTGAACTAAAAAATCGCATCTTCTTGCTTTTCTCCCGCACGACTGTCATAAGAATCACGCAAAAGATTCCGCAGAAAGGATCCCCGAAATATGCTATGGGAGGGACAATTTTAAGAGGGCTAGTGGAAGGTGAGGCTTTTTTGGGGTAATTATAACAATTATTCGCGAGCCTCGGCTCTTTGCTACGCGCTTCTATTGGTTCTTTACGCGCTTCTATTGGTGAAATTTGCAGCTGCGCAACGGTCAACTTTCTGTGGGGAAAAATCCCACTTCTTAGGTACTCATATAATTTTTTCGAATTTCAAATTTCAGAAAGTTTGCCGATCTGCAATCTTCTTATCAACTTCGTGAAAACGACACAGTATTTCGACTTATTATTCCACTAGTGGTTTTCAATGGAATCTGTCATTTAGCATTTTCGATATCTGGCGGACTGTTTTTGACATTTCGAGCATATTTCTCATATGTAACATACAAGACATTAACCTCAGCCGCTTACGTAGGTGATGTTCCATCTTCAGACGCTACATTATTAATAGAAAAGTGTGACTGCGCCATATATATATTGACTATGACCGCTGCACTATATTGTGTGTCCATCGTATTTTTCGTTTAGACAGTTCCGTACTTCACTTTGGTATCGCCATTTCTGTTGCGGTTTATTATCAGAAAATCGAAGCGAACCCGAACGGCAAAGCTGAAGAAGCTCGGTCGACAAATTGGCAGCGAACGGGACATGTACTTCAAGACATACAGCAGAATGTGGAACAAATGAATTAGATATACGCCTTCACTTGCACTTGCAAGATGATTCCCTACCATCTGCAAGTGAAGGATTTGTAGCTGTAGACGTGTGCCTCTTTCATTAATTGGAACCGCGAAGAACTAAAACTGGAGGGTTGATATCTGGATGCCGTTATGGACTCCATCAGCCCTTTACAATGTGTAGCATGCGCATACAGTTGCTGACAAAAACCACACGTGAGAGAGCATGTAAAAAGAAGCGTGTTTAGCTATAACCAAGGGTAACACTTCCACAGATACGGGCTCGTTTATTACGCTAGTGAGCGTGCAGCGCACCTTTAAGCGTTAACTTGTGCCCAATGTATTTGTCATGTTTGCTGACTGTTGAGGTATTCAAAAGTCTTACTGGAGTTTTGTTAACGTCAGGAGTTTTTTACGTCATTCATGTTGGTCTTTCCCTATGGCCTCATATCACCATTGAGCGAGATATATAAACACCAGTCGGTTGCCTGGCTGACGCCGAACTCTCCCCTTTTCTTTAGCTGACCTGGCTTCGCGAGGCGCCTTTTATAATGGAAACAGAATTCGCTCGTTCACTGAGTTGCGAATTCTGCGCTTGTTGATCGAATCGTGATGGGTAGAGTAACCCAGCAAATTTCGCATCCTTGATCAACGTTTCAAAGGAAGGATTAAGCCATAACGCTCATACTATACATATATCTAGCTGTAGCTAGAAGCAACATAGGACAATACAGCGCGGTATGATCGCCCATGCTGTTTCCATTGTCTGCACTGAAATGCCTATCGATGAAGCTTACCTTTTCCATTGCCATGGGCAGGGCACGCCATTGCGTTGTGATCATTTCCTGAAAAATACGACCCTCCCTGATTCCATCCACAGGTACGACCTCCTCCCCATGCTACCTTCCACTTTCCTAGATTCTCCCAACCTCCTACCACTTTGCCCATTTTTTCCCGAAAAATCGAAAAATCTCTGGTTTTTTCACAAAATTTTGCTGTCGAGCGGGGGGAGGGGCGAGCTTGCAGTATCTACGTACGTCCGAAGCACGCCCAGCACTCTGACACTGGTGGAGCATACGGACAATACGTACGAGGAAGGGGCGATGGTAGGAGCTACGATGACCACCCACAAGGACACCATATCTATAAATAAACCAAAGGACTTACGACGTGGCGATCAATCAACAAATGGCCTAGCGATAAAATGAAAATTGTGCTGGAAAGTAGAGAGCTTCGTGCGTCCGGCACAGTTCCTTTTTTCGAAGGCCGTGTATGAAGCTTGCCATGGATGTCCAAAGCGTGGCGACTTGGGGTTGGCCCCCATGATCACAAGAGGATCATAACGGTGAAACCTTCTAGAAAGGGAATGTTTCAGAAATCGTTCAATCCAGGTAAGAAGAGCCAACCCAGCTCTACTCATTCCCACTTCCCACTCTCTGAAAGTTTTACTTTCAACGAAGTTATAGGTGTTCAAACGAGGGGTGCTTTTCGAGTGCTTGGCTTGTGGCTACAGGTCGTAAAATAGCGCGCACCAATGCGCTTGTATTAGCGTGGGAATTGCACTACTCACGTGCGGCTGACTGCGAAGAACTAGCATGCAGGGGGCCATTGTTTCGCACAGCTGTGGCTGCGTGCCATTGCGTACACTGCGGATCTACAGTAACCTCACGCCTAGTTCCATTACTCGTTGGGACGTAGCATCTTAATGAATTCTAATGATTGTGATTAAGTGACATCTATGAGTGTTTTTAGAACTAGAATCTTCCATGTTACATCTGCATTCGCTGTTCTTCATTTCTATCCTTGGTCATCTTCATCACCCTCTATTCGGACTCTGAAGCATGAGCAACACCTCAATTGTTAATTGCGTTTTGCTTGTATTAAACTAATGTGGGACGCTGAGGCCGTTTTTATTGTCATGTTTCGTGGAAATATTGCAGAAGCAGCACGGTTGCTCTTGCGTTCTAGCCTCGTCGTCATCTTCGGCTTTTGTTTTGCAGCACCTAAAGTGCTATCAGCATCAGGAAATTGCGTTTTAGAGTCCGGCATTTTTTCCAGGTGTAGCTTTAGGCGACAGTTGTCTGAACTGTTGTTAAGCCGCTCGCTGTATGAGGCAATTTTTTTGGGGTTATTTTCAAACTTCTATTAGCTTTTACAACCCCCCCCCCCATCGGGGTAAATACGACCCCCCCCCCGCTGTGATGACCACAACGATGGAGTGCCCTGATTGCAGGTGTTAAGATTTGGGCTACGATGATTGTAGATTTTTTCATAGTCCCTTATCAATCCTTTGCATCAGTATTGAATGTGAAAAATGTCACTGAAATGTATGACGTTATTGAGATTGATGATCGATATTCCCTGTTTTTTCTGCATTTCTGCTTCAGGCGAGCTAAATACCCCCTCCCCGCTCGACATCAATACATGTTTATTATGCGTGTAGTGTTAGGGATTCAAGATTTCGACTACACAACAACGGCAACATTCTCCATCAGCCCTATCAGTTGTTACCATTTTCTGTCACCACTCATCGATGTTTCCGTTCTACCCCCCCCCCAATATCGCGGGATGCAACTGATTTCCTACACTTGCTACAATCCTACACTTGCTACAATCCATAAATTTCCCAATTATCTCTTCTATTGCTCCTTATTGGATCTTGTCAGCTGTGATAACTTCCTGTCACACACCGATAGTGTTCTCTTCCCACCACTCTATCATCTTTTAAAATTGACTTCCTACAGTTGCTGCTACCCACGGTACGAATTTGGTGATCTAAAGCCATTGAAGCATTTTGCGGACATATGTACATTTCGCAAACATACAGACATACCTACATACATACAGACCGACAAACCGACACACAAAGTTACTACTTTATAGAATAGAGTGATTACTCCGGGCAAAGCACGTTTCACTTCTCGTTTGAATGTCTATTGAAGAAGTTATCAGTCTGTTCGCACAACATTTTCGATGTGCATTCAAAGAGGGCCATCGTTTTTTATCATTACTAGACGAAATGCCCGGCTGACGCCGAGCTCGCCTCGCTTTCTCTTAGCCCAGCTTCACCGGGATGATCTAGCTTCGCCAGGGACACTTCATAGTGGAAACAGAATTCATTCGGCTCATTCACTGAGTGGCATTCCAGTCCACGATCATGTTGTGCAGGAGAATCGGTTTGGTCACAAAGCCTATACCATAAAAAGCATATACACTGTGTCCCAAAAATATGGTTCGAATTCGAACTTCGAAAAAGGGCAGATTATCGCAAAGAAGGACTCAAGGACTGTCGAACGGTCAATCGCAAAGGAGTTGGGCGCAGTCATCATGTTATCAATGACTTTGTCAGAGAACCCGCACGATATGGAATCAAGAAGAGCTCTGGGCGTCATCGTTTGCTCTTTAGGCGACTGTTCTGCGAGTTTTGAAAATCTCGCAAAATCAAAATTACCTACATGAGGAATATGAGTTAGGCAATGTTTTTAACAAAAAACCATCGCTAAAACTTAATTGTCTTCGCTTGAACATGTTGCCGAACCATTGGAGTGAGGGTAGCTTTTAAATGCGGTGCCCTGCTGCTTGCCTCTGTTGCATTTTTGGTTTTTTCCACGCGGTCGCCTTTTTTGATAGGAAGAAATTCAACTGCAACGTTTCAGGTGAAAACCGATTCCACTGGCACGACCTGAGGGAAGACAAGTTTCATTTTTCCGGGGGGAACTTCAGTGGATGTGATCCCATGCTCTGGGGTGCCATAGCATCAATGGAACTTCTGAAACTGTGCTCCGTATAAGGAAAAATGATTTCTTCCGTCTATCTAGAAGTCATGCGACGACGTCTCCTTCCTTTCTGGTTTAGAAATCAGCAAGAAAGTCCCGTCTTCATGCAGGATAATGCGCCAGTTCATGACAGCAGAAGCACTCGAGCGTGATTCAGTCGTCATCAAATCGCTCTTTTGCCCTGGCCAGCGAATAGCCCTGACTCAAACCTATTCTCGAATGTGTGGGGCTCCATGCTGCGTAAGACCTTCGCGAACAATGCACGATTCCACATTGTCCCTGAGCTTAAAGAGTCAATCATCGTCGCATGGCACCAGTCGACCGGAAACTGATTTAAAACATTATTTAATATAATTTATATAAAAGATTGAATACATATTCGAGCATAGGCAACCCCATTTTTTAACTTATTCAAAGGAATTGGGCTGCAAGAGATTACAGAATTAACAATTCATTCATTTTGTTGTACACTTGTTGTTTTATGAATCGTTTTGTTTAGGGGAACTATACTTTTGGGACATGCGAATTTTCAAAAAATGAAGAAAATTGAGTTTCTCTGAAAAGTTAGTTTTCGGTGTTGGCCTGCAAACTGGTACTGGTAATTCCACATTTTCTGTCTGAAGGCTTTTTCGAAAACTTGGTGTAGGGCGGGATATTGTGAGATTTATGGGTGAAACTATACTTTTGGGACGCAGTGTAGTTTGGGCTCACTTCGCTGCACATTTTCTTTATACGGCCGTAATCCTATTACTCTTCTTGTCAGTGATAAACTTTACAAATAGAAAACTACCAATGAACACATAGAGTGTGTTACATTATTCAGGTTTTTGGTTCTTCATTTTCCCTTTTTCTTTTTCAGGCAAAGTACATACTCCCCGGCCCCGCTCGCCAGCATTACACCTTCAAATTCAAGTTCTTCTTATCAAATCTTATCAGCTGCTAGCAGCTCTGTCACTCACCAATCACGATCCTGTCCCATACCCTATATCACACCTCGGAACTATTATTATATTATAATTATTATATTACAACAGTGTCAAGCATACGTTGCGGAATCCGCGACGAAGGGATCGTGTTTGAATCCCCTTTTGAGGGGGGTCGTATTTGCTTAGTCATTACCTAGCTTGTAGCGTCCAGATGAGTGAGCCGTTCGGAAAGGAGTTTATGAACATGGAGCATTCCATGTTAAGTAATGTGTTTAAACCTCTCTGCTTCAGTTCCAATTCATTACACA